CTCCGCACACTCGTACCTGGATTCTGCTCTACCAGTGCTAGAATTTCTTCTTCTGCTCTAGGAGTGGATACCGACCTTGGTCTTCCGGATAAATGGCACTGTTTGCTCAAGGAACCGGTATCACGCAATCTTTGGTGAATTCTTCCAAACATGCGTTGTGAAGGAATCTGGCGATTTGGATAAGCGTCAACATAAAGACGTCGCGCTTCGGTGGCGTTCCCATTAGCACGACCATACATGAAATGCATGTCTGTTAATTCTGCGTTAGAGTAACCAGCCATAGCGAAAGAAAACTTGTGCACTGAGAACAACTGTCAAATACGTACTGTTTATTTCACTAAACATCAACCAACTATTATAAGAAAATACACAACGTTTTTGCAAAATAAAAAAAGGGGCTAAAAAACATAAAACATTCCATATCTCCGCAACCGTTACTTTGCGGACCCATGTTTATTGAGACTTTTCTGCTTATTTTGGTTCATACTATTACCTCCTTAAATATTATACACTCTTTTTTTAACACCCTGTATGTACATTTCGCAACAACATATTTTAATTATTTATGTCCTCAAACAATTTTATTATATTGATGGTAAATTTCGTTTTGTTTCGTTTCAAAAGGTCTCCAAAATGCCGTGTTGTAATAATATTATTTCTCCCTTTTGCAATTGTAATATCAATGATTAATAGAAGGTGCCTATAATAAATTAAAATTACCTGAATCACAACAAATTCCGCATTGCTGCACTGCACTGCTGGGCAGTTTGTCAGCCATTAGTCAACAGCTGAGATTTATTGCCCAGTGGCCCGATGCAGCCGTGTTTGTATTTCGTTTGCCCTCGCTCGCATTTTCAACATTTCTTGGGCGTATACATTTCTACCACCTCCATGTTTAGTTCGACCAGACCTGTATATGGATATGGCTAAATAAATATGGCTGCGTCAGCGACCGAACCTGGTACATATTATACATACTCTTGGTTCTTCAATTGATATCGGAAAGACTATACAGGGTCGGAAAGTCCCCATGGTTCATCGGGCGTTACGTGAGAGCGATAAAGAAAGTCATAGAAATCCGTGTGATAGAGAAAGATGGCTATAATGAAGGCGTCTAATAGTCACCGCCCATTTCGCCCTTCCACAAGTAAGATCCACTTCTTATTCAGCAACAAAATCAAATCGTAAACAGTTTAAATTTAAGCAGAATCTTATCTTATCTATTCTGAACGCTTGCAAAGAGCTGTTCAGTTAAAATTTTCTATAGCCGCTACTGCCAGTTGACTTCACACTTGGTATGATGTGACGCATGGTAAACAGGCAAAAAAACAAACTGCGAAAGATTTCAAGTATGTCATATGCTGTTAAAATCATGTAAAACCCATTCAATAAAAGCAACGCGCCAAAGTGCAGCACTTCATTATTGATGTGTACTAAAGCTAAAAAGTAGTTTCCATTATATTCCAAGAAATTTGTTATTTTTTTTTGTTGCACTCAGTACCTGTGGAACAAACCTTTTCTGTTTAAATTAAATTTCTAGATCTCATAGTTTTCACTAAAGTAAATAACTGAAATTGTATGCTGTTCAACACATCTGGTTCGGTACTAAACACTTCAGCATACTAGAGACGAATGGTGGTAAATAAAAACATTTCTGTGTGCATCACACACAACTTAATCCTTATTCATACCGAATTTTAAAATCGACAGCCTTGGCTTTGCTACAGACGGCCGTAGGTTTACTTTTATGCCCCTTTTGAATACATTGCTTTGAGTTTAAAGCGAAATAGTATAAAAGTAACGTACTCTCTTAATGCAGGTTTGAAGCATGTACGTTTTCTCAAAAGCATTTACGCTATCAGGGCGCTGTTTTTATCAAAATTATCTACTTGATAGGCTTTTCTACTGCCATGCATAAAATGCTAAGTTACTTTACTTAAGCTTATTCAAATCAAGTCTAAATATTCGTAAAAGAAAATCAAAACATATGTAGATTTAGAGGAGTATATTTTGTCAATTTTATTTATTCCTTGGCTTATAAATGACTAGAGAAGTCACAATACTTTGTCCAACAAAGTAATCGTTAAAAATTTGTTGTTGGAAGGCGGGCTGCATTATGTAGCAAAATATTTGGGGCATTTAAATCTGTTACAATCTGCTGGCAGGTAGAGCCTAGCAAGAAACAAGACTCAGGGCGAGGAGAGGAACATGCAGCTTTACACTAAAATGCAGCACGTGTGAAACACATGTGTTGAAGTTACCACAACAGACTCTGATGGCTGGAGAAGGTAATGGCACGAAGCACGGCCAAAGACTCGAATATGCCATGCCGTACCTTTTCTACAGTACCTGTAAACCTTATGTAAATTTTTGGACACCATCATATTTTATAATTTTACTTTGTATCGGATCAGACGGATAAACATCGCAAAGGTATCAAAATAAACAACTTCCTGTTTTTTAGGTAAATGAAACCATTTTGTATATTTTTACACATCAATTATGATGTGAAATCCATATATTACCTCGAAAGCCTCATAACTCTCGTCGAGTTGTTTCTGTAGGTGCTAAGAAAACTGTTTGTTATAAATTTGCGGATGTGGATTCTAATTAATTAAGAAATAAAACTGCACAACTTAATTAAAAAGTTTTGCTGTTTGTTTTAAATGCCGGAAAATATAAAAATGTAATAAAACAGTGATTGTTATGAACAAAATGAGTTTTTATTATATTGCAGTTTGTCCTAGGAAGTTTTCAAAATAATTTACAGACGACGTTAAATTAAAATATAACTGTGAAGTTCTCAAAGTACAAGGTACAGCAAAACAATTGGAATGCAGTACACTAAAAATGTCGACTTTGCTAATAAATGAACTTACGAGGTCTTCAAAGTATGTAGGTTGTCGTAATTGATATATCTACGAAAAGGGAGATTTTTGGATAGCTGTTTTACATTGACAATTTATTCATGAATAAATTGACGAAGTTTTCCATGAATTAATTCACGAATTTATTGGTAAACAGTGTGGTTTTACACTGTTACAGACTTATCAAGTTTTTCGACGCATGAATCAGTTCTACCAACAAATGAAAGAAGCAAATAAATTTCAAAAATGTCACCTTTCCACTCATAATTGTAATGATACAATAGCGGTATCGTTTTAACACATATTATATAAATATTAGTTTTTGTAAGTAACAAATCAGTAAAAACAATGCAAAACTAGTACGGCACAACACATTAATTTACATATTCCAATAACATAACCTCATTACTGATCTGAGACTGGAAATGTGTTGGATTGGTACTTCTGAACTTAACTAAGAAATTGATAAAAATTAGAACATGTTCTAATACGTCAAGAACTTGATGAATAAATTCATGAAGTTATTTGACAGCAGATTTGGTGCATTACACTTGTCCAATTTCTTGATGAAGTGACAATAAATTGTCAATGTAAAACAGCTATAAGAGATACACCATATATCGTTGCAATATACAGGGTGTTATTAAAAAAAGAAGAAGAGTTGGGTTACTTCGACGCCTTTGCAATGTTTGTTTATTGGATCTGGTACAAAATTCATTCATGCAACTTTTATCTTTTCATTATCTTTTCTACACCATTCGAATAGAACTTTTCTACGATTCCAGATAAGGATTGACATAATTTTTCTTATTATTAGAAATAGACCTATCAAATCACTATAATCGTGTATACTGGGTGTTCCACTAGATAAAGCAAAGTCTGTTTATTTTGTCAGTTTTGCGATGTTCATTTGTTTGATTCGATATAAAATCCTGATCAGTGGTATTATTTCTTATTCTATTTCAGTCACGAAAGTACAAAATAAATATTTTACGCACTAGCGGGTAAAACAGATTTTTTTATATACATGGTGGCCCAATAGTGTGACAAAGTTCAATTATTATTATTATAAAGATTTGAAAAGTAATATTTTATGGGAGTGATGTACTTAAAAAAGTTCACATTTTAAAAATATTTTGAATTATACAGGATATGTATTAGAGCGGAACATCTTCAAGGTGGTTTTTCTTAAGTGGAACACTCGATGTCTTTGTTTTTTCTATTCGATGCGGTGATGCCAAGTTATTTGAAAAAATAAGATAATTTTCGCTGGGACAGGGTTCTGTAAGTCTATCCACTGTGCAGGTATTACCAGTAATTAAGAAAAAATATTTTGTAGGCATGCGGATCAAAGATGTGGACAAAATAGCAAAATCTTTATAATTTTGTACAGGGTGTTCTACACATAAGTCTCAGTTTAGTAAATTTCGAAGGACATCTTCTCTATTTTTTTAAATGAAACGCCCGGTATATTATTTTATTTTTGTATAAGTATGTTAATTATCTACAACTTTTGTAAATAATACCCCATGTCTAAAATGACTATTTTCGGAAATATTAGCACTTTTCTAGCAAAACCCCTTTAATTTTGCAAATTTTACTTTTTTTTACTCTAGTAGGCCATGAGTTTCACATAAAATCTTTGTCACACTATTGGGCCACCCTAAATGTAATATACATATTTCGCCTAAACTTTATTCTTGGGTTTATAAATGTATTTTTGTTTATAGGCGTCTATTATAACTGTCTGTGCTCTCCATTTCGTATAACCTAAATAAGAATTGGGTAGTACAGTACATACCTATTCTACGTATATTTTTTTAACACATTCGAAATCTGTCACTTTGGTATTCAACAATAATTTCGTTTCAATTTTTGTACTTGTTATGATCAACATATTAATTCACTTCATTTTTTAGCCAAGAATAAGCTACTTTTTTGATTGAGATATATCATAATATTGTACTTTTGGGATGATTATAAAAATAGTTGTTCTGACAACATTTATAAGCAAAATGCCAATGATGTAAATATTGTTGCCTTTAAGTTGGAATTTTCTACATATTATTTAAATATATATTAAATAACGACAAACTTATAGCCTTATTATACCAAATTTTCTGTTCTTTTCAGGAGCTACAGAGCATAACAAATATGGAGGTTTCCATGCTATATATAGTCTTAGAAATACTGATTTTCATGGTGCTTGAAATACACGCGATAGTGCCCACAGGTAAGTAGAACTGAATAATTACAATACAGGAATACAGGGTGTTTAATTAATAATAAGGGTGTTACATTTGAAAATATATGTTACATGTTCAGTAGAAACACACCTGGATCGATACCAGCCAAGAATAAGTCTATGTCGCTTAAAAGTAATTGGGAAATTAAAAAACAGCAAACGAGTCGAATATATTCAAGGAAATTGTAGTCTAAATCAAATTTTTACAAAAGCGAAAGGAGTAGAGGGCAATGATTTGATTTATTTTAACAAAATTGCACAAAAAACATAGTCCAGTCACTGAAGCATTTTGGCTACCAATTTTTTCGGATGGAATGGATTTACGTGAAATTTGACTGTAGCTAGGGAATAGCCCAAGAAACAAAAGTTATATAGTGCCGATGTGTGCTTTTACTCTAGGGGTGTATGCCACCCCTTCTGGAGGGTGGGAATTTTTTTTATTAAAAATAACCTCACAATTCGATAGAGGGATGAATTCTAAGCAAAAAATATTCTATAAGAATTTTTTGTACAGTCAATACTTTATGAGTTACTTGCGCCTAAACATGTTCGTTTTTAGCCCAAAAAATGCGTTTTTGAGCCATTTTCGCGAATATCTCAAAAACTACAAGTTTTATCAAAAAAATTATCATAAGCAAAAATGAAGGTAATTAAATAGCAAAGAGATTGTTTTTTTATTTTTGTAGATGGTATAGAACCCAAGTTATGACTCACAGAAGTTGAAGTCAATTTCGAAGATAGCTATAATCGAACCGTTCAACGTCCTGTAGCGGAAGAATTAAAGGTTTTTTGAGGAAAAGTTCTTGAAAAGACCTTTAAATTGAGTGGTGGTGGAAGTCGTTAGCATGAAAACTAATGAAGTTACAATCAAAATAAAATGATTGTCTTGATTTTTGAGAAATAAAAAATCGGTATTAAAATTAATGACTTGACGGAAAAAAAATTATAAGTATTCCTTCTTCAATTTACTTTATTTGTGTATTATTAGTAGATCAGCAGGGGAATTTGAAAAAAATTTTTCATTTCATTTACTTTTGAATAAAATTTTTCAATTTTTTAAAATATCGCCTTCTTTTCAAAATATTTCAAAAACTAACAAAGTTATTAAAAAAATGATAGAATAAGAAATTGTAGGTTTTTTCTTACTGAACAATTTGCTTTTTTTAATTTTTGTAGGAGTTATGACCGTTAGAAGCTCAAAACTAAGCTCCAAGACTGCCTTTCCTGAGCACTTTTAGCTTACAAATCTAAAAAACGAAGGGCTCAAAAAAACTGCAAATCACAGATTTTAAAGTGCTTTAAATTCCCTACAAAATGTTTTTTTTGAGTAAATTTAAAAAATATATATTATATCATCATACTCGCATCTAATTTTTAGAAAATTTTTCTATAAGGGGTAGCGTTTTTTATGAGGGGTAGGTCTTCCATAAAGGTTTTTTGGGTGGCTGAAAAGTTGCAATATATCATAGATCATTTGAAAACCAATAAAAAGTTTATAATTCAACATATGCACACCTTTAAAACATCTCAAACTTTCAATAATATTTTATTTTATTATAAGGGATGGTTTTTAAGGGTTGCAACTTTGTAATGAGTCGTAAGCTTTCTAATGAATAATAAAAGAAATGCAATACATTGTGAATGCACCAAAAGAATATTTTAAACTGTTAAAACCTTTTTTTTTCTATTTTTTTGGACATGGAAGGTTAATTTTTAAGGATTTTTAAGGGTTTAAGAGTTCTGCGATTTTCGCATTTTTTTCGTACAAGGGTAGTTTTCACCCCCAAATAGAAAAAAGCATACATCTAGACAATATAACTTGAAGTGGGGGGTCAGATGAGCTTGTATGCAAATTTTCAGTAAAATCCATACTATCCGAAAAAATTGGAAGCTTTTACTTTATATTCGCCTTTAGTGACTGGACTATTAACAGGCATGAATATAACAGTTTCTAAAAAATCGTTTTTTAAACATTATAATTTCGACACTTCATATTTTGAAAATGAGGCGCTTAAATGAAAAATAACGACGGTCAGGACGGTCCCATGATCTAAAGAATCTGTGGTTGACGACTTGACCTACTTCTTTGTAACACCTTGTATAATTTTGATCAGGCTTGTGAAACTTGTGAAACAAAAATTTTCCCTCCATTTTTTTCAGACACTTCATATTCGAGTAACGGTTATGGCTTGGATAATTTCGAAAGTATAACAGCAGTCGCAAATAGTACCCTAGTACTACAGTGTCCACACAGAGGCAGAATACAGTGGAAATTACTGAACGACGCTGGCACCATAAGAGGAAAATTATTGAAGGTAAAGTTTTTAAAGTTATTATTTTTTTACTAGCGCTTATACATTTATATATTGTTGTAAATAATAGGGGGCTCAGAGTTGAACCTTGAGGCACCCGAATTCTTTTTACAATTAAAAATATAAAGTTATGGCGATAGTACCAATCTACAAATAACAAAGCGATGACGGTAGACGCTCATCCTCTATTAGCATTAGACGTACACAAACAAAATATTGATATGCACTTCAAGGTTAGTTGATTTATTAAATGCGAACAATGCACTGATATGTCCTTTAGTGTATTAAGCCGTCAAGTGACTGCCTATACGGGGTGTTTAGTGTATAAATCCGAACGTCATGGAGAAGTAGAATTGGCCCGTGACAAAATTTAACTGTTTCAATTAGTTTGCGAAAGTTTTTCGTTTATATACTTAGTAAAATGTAAAATTTGCACAATATATTTTTATATAAAAAAAGATTATAATAGTCAATTGGAACTACAAATGACCTTAAAAAACACCCTGTATATTAGGGTGGCTCAACAAAAAACGAATATTTTTTTTCTTGTCTCTTGTGAAAATATGTTAGTTTATCATGTTTTAAGAGCTCCCTCAAAAATCAGCTTAAAAATTTTTTTTTAGAAGTCGCTCAAGATTTTTAAAAATTTCCAAAATCGTCAAAAATTGAATTCTATTTTAAATTTTTTTTCTCGTTATTTTATCATTTTCTAGGTTGAAAAAAATCTCGATTCTGAACATTTCAAATCGATATTTTAATTTCTAAAGGTCACTTTCGAAGTAGTATACTTATGTTTCCAGCGACCTCTAAAAATAAATATCAACGAACTAATAAATTTTTTTTATTGAATTTGATGAACATTGATTTGATTTTTTATTTTTTTGAATTTGATGAACAAAAGAATGAATCACGAGACACTTAAATTTTAAAAAATTAAAAAATATAAACATTTGATACTCACAGTCAGTGCGGTAGTAAATTTTACTTCGAGAAATTTTTTAAGTGTCTCGTGATTTATTTCTGTTCTCTTAAAAAAATTAAAATTATTAGTTCGTTGATATTTATTTTTAGAGGTCGCTCGAAAACATTTTAGATACCTTTAGAAATTAAAATATCGATTTGAAATTTTCAGAATAGAGTTGTTTTTTCAACCTAGAAAATGATAAAATAACGGGAGAAAAAAAATTTTTTAAAAAATTCAATTTTTGACGAAATTTTTTAAAATCTTGAGCTACCTCTTTTTTTAGGTGATTTTTTGAGGGGGCTCTTAAAACATGATAAACTAAAATATTTTCACAAGAGACACGAAAAAACTATTCGTTTTTTTTGGGCCACCCTAATGTATATAGAATCGATTATTGATTAAGGAGTAAATATCCATTATTTTTTATACGGTTTCTGCATCAAAGCGAAGTGCTTTTAATAATCGATTGAGTTTTCAATTGGATACCTCTGAAAATCAATTAAAATTATGAATAAAGAATTCCAAACTTTAATTTTGAGTGGCTATAACAGAAACAAATGCTATGATCATCAGTATATAGTTAATTCATTACATTCTATCGGAAAAAATAATTTTTACCTCGGTTTCAAATATACTTTTCGATTTGTTCTTGTTTATGCAGGGTGTCCCAGAATAACGTGTATCACAGAAGACCACAGATTTGATTCAAAATAGGCAGATTTAGGCTAATTCACCTATAGCCAAAATCGCTTCGTTTGGCCGCTAGATGGCCTCAAAGTTATTGAAATTTTTTTAAATTTTGTAAATAATTCGAATACGTATTATTCGATTTTGATAATTTTTGGGGTGTGAACTTTTGCTTTCAATCTACAAATGTTATACAGACTGTTTTTTAAAACTCACAACTCCTACAAAATTGATGTGTGATGATAATATCCGTTCATAACTTTTTCCTCTTTTGGGCAATAATGGCAACTGTTTTTTATTTGTTAGGTGATACCATTTGGAAGTTTTTGGCCCTCTTATAGAATTTTGATTAAATAAGCGGTTTGGGTACAAAAAAATATTTTTTAAATGTCTACATTATCTAGTAGTCACTGATTTTGTAGGTTGATCTTTAAATCATTGTACCTGCCAATTCTTAATGATTGTTTACTACGATAACATATACATGTTGCTTAATTTTTCGATACGGATACACACATACGACGAATTAGAGTAATTTACAACGTGCCTAATTTTATTGAAATAATTCGTAAAAACAATAAAATACAATAAAAAATACTGGAGATAAAAGTAACAAAGTTAAGGTTATTAAATTTAGTACAACTTATTATAAAAACTGTTCAAAATGACCAGTCTTGTTTCTACAACAAAGGTTAATTCGGCGAAGAAAGTTAAAGGACACCCTTTGCAGTTCTTAAGGGCTATTTTTTTAAAACATTTATGGCTTTTTGGATATGCCTCCACAACTCACTTCAGTGTTAGATGAGGAATCATGCACAGTTGTTTTCAGAGTGCCCCAAAGATAATAGTCGCAAGGTGTTAAGTCTGGTGAACGTATAGGCCAGTTAACAGGAAATTATCCCCTCTATCGATCCATCGACGAGTGAATCTTTGGTTCAGATACCGCCGGACATTTACAGTTGAAATGTGGTGGAGCGACATTATACATAAACCACATGCTAGCTCTGAGTAATAACGGCAATAACTCGGGTTCTGCAAAAATTCTATATAAAATTCATCATTCAGTCTATCGGGTAGAATAATAGAGGCAATAATAATGCTATCCCAAACAAGAGCAAACTGAAATTACAGTCAGCCTACAAAATCAGAGCCTACTAGCACTTTGTTAAGGATTGTAATATGGGTGGCAAGATAATGTATACATTTAAAAAATACTTTTTTGTACCCAAACCGCTCATAAAGAGAATTCTATAAGCGGCCTATCAAATAAAAAATAATTATCATTATTGCCCAAAAGATGAAAAAGTTATGAACGGATATTACCACCATACATCGATTTTGTAGGAGTTGTAATTTTAAGAAACACCAACATGTGTAGATTGAAAACAAAAGTCCACACCGCAAAAATAATCAAAATCGAATAATACGTATTCGAATTATTTACAAAATTCAAAATATTTTCACAAACTTTGAGGCCATCTAGCGGCCAAACGAAGCGATTATATATATAATTGAATTAGCCTAAATCTACCTATTTTGAATCCACGAATCTGTGATCTTCCGTTGTACACGTTATTCTGGGACACCCTGAATACAGGCTGATTCAAAATTCAGTACAAAGAATTTAGGGGCGTATTTTTGAGGTCAAAATAAGACTTTTTTTTTCCTATAAACATAGGTCCACAAATGCTTAGTTATATACAGGGCGTTAAAGTTTTTTATTTTGTTCGATTTTTAGGAATAATTTCCAAACAGATTTGAATGTTGGCATAAAACTTGTGGTACGGGAGTGTTTTAGGATGATAAATTTAAATATGTTATTGCTTTTGACGCTGCTTGTAGAGGGCGCCACCTATAAGGGTACGTTTGAATTAAATTGGCCCTGACTTTTTACTACCCTGTACCTTGACGTTTCGTATTAATGCGTTTATTTATGATTTATTCCCCTATCAATTTTATGCAAAAATGGTATACTTGGTCGAAATTCCTCAGCCAACCGTTTTCGAGATATTGGCTAATGAAATGTTAAATGCATATTTTCAAATTTTATTAATTATTTACGGTGAAAAATTTTTAAATTTTCATTTACCATCTAACCAGTTAAGCAAGTATCTTGAATTTGATTGACTTGATTTGCCCGTCCTGAGAAACGTCATAGCATAAGCGTAGACGAGGGGTCTAATTCCATGGCAATAATAAATTCATAAATTAAAAAAACACAACTGGGACGTTTTAAAATGCTGTAATAATTAAAACTGATCAAAGAGCCGGTTATAGCAAACCATAAAAAATATTAGATGTTATGTTTTATTATGTTTTTTCAATATTTTCTATATCTTGTTGCCTTTTACGCAGACACGCCAATGGATTTTCGTTCCCGGCACGCTTCATCCCCCTTACTAGTCCAAGAGCTAGCGATGAATCACTATCTATAATTTTGGCCGTCGAGTATAGTCCAATGTAATTTAAGCGTACCCTTATAGATAGCGCCTTCTACAAGCAACGTCATTAACAATGACATATTTAAATTTAGGATCCTAAAAAATCCCCGTACTCCAAGTTTTATGCCAATATTCAAATCTGTTTGGAAATTATTCCTAAAAAATCGAACAAAATAAAAAACTTTAACAGTCTGTATATCGAAAACTATGCATTTGTGGACCTACGTTCATAGGAAACAAAAGTCTTATTTTGACCATAAAAATATGCCCCTAAATTCTTTGTAGTGAATTTTGAATCAGCCTGTATATTAAAGACTTTCTTTTTACCAATATTTTAACTTTTTCCTTTCCAAAGGGATAATTTATGAACGTGAGAAAAATATCTATATACAGGGCGTTAAAAAAAAGTGTAAACAATTAATGTGAACATGAACAAGGTACGGTTTGAAGTAAATAATGTGAAACAAAGTTCACCAAAAAAAAATGAAATTTGGAGTATGTAGTCAGACACGGATGTTTCATGACCAGCTTGTATTTTCCAGGCGGATTCAGATTCGTATGAATTCCGACCAGTGACCGCCCAAGACAAAGGCATTTACGGTTGTTTCACGAACGAATCTTTCGTCGTCAAAAAATACAACTTGACCATATTCGAAGCCCCTCACTTCACCAAAAAGATGCAAAAACTGGTGGTCAAACCGGCGGGGAACATGGTCAGGTTGACCTGTAAGGCTGGGGGTATTCCACCACCCAATATTACATGGTACAGAGATGACAGGTCACCACCCAAAAGGGAACTGGGGGAAATAAAAATTAATCATTGGTCTTTGACCCTGGAGGACACTGTCACGAACGACAAAGGAAATTACACTTGCGTTGTGTGTAACGTTGTTGGTTGCATTAATTTCACCTTTATTGTGGACGTCGTTGGTAAGCATCATCTGTAATAGCTACGAGGGACGTTCAAATTTCAATCACGATTTGTTATACAGGGTGTCCCATAATTAGTGTGCAATACTTCAGCAGTAGATTCTACGATCAAAAATAAGATTATTTTTTCCTATAAACAAGGGTCGAAAAATGATTCCTAAGGGAGCTACGCTCCCCTAGAATAGAGAGAATCAGGAGATCATATTTTCCAAAATATTTCCAAGACCAGTTAACGTATCATTATGAATTTTGGTATGTTGGAACTGTTTAAAAATTTTCAGGGCTGTCAGGCGTGCGGCTCCCGGGTAAAATGTGCCCCCAAATTTTTGCTTGTCAATATTTTCAAATTTAAACATCAAACTATGACAGATATGAGTTTTTCACAAATAAATGTACTCTTGATTTACTTCGATAAAATGGTTCGTTTTCGAGAAAAATCGATTTTAAAGTTTTATTACATAATCTCAAGAATGGAAAAGGATTACATGAATAGGTTAGGTCAAAAAAAAGTTTTTTTTAATTAATTTGACAGATTATTAAACTCAAATGTTTGCTTTCACTTTACGGTGCTGTATTGATTTTAATTTAAAGAAAAAATTAAAAAAGGCGTCATTAATAATGAAAACTTGCTTCCATTAATTCTCTGGACCGATGAGGCGACTTTCACCAGAAATGGAGCTCTTAATTTTCACAATATCCACTATTGGGCTAATGACAATCCGAAGGTAGTTCGGCGTAATAATTTCCAACACAGGTTTTCAGTTAATCAATGGGCGGGGATTATCGGTAACAAATGAATTGGACCTATTGAAATTCCAAATCGGCTAAACGGTGAAGTTTATTTACATTTTTTACAAAGTGAATTGTTTAATTTATTGGAAGATGTACCTCTGAATATTAGGGGAAACATGTACTTTCAGAACAATGGAGCTCCAGCTCATAATAGTAGGAATGTGAAAATCTGGTTGAACGAATATTTTCCGGAAAGGTGGATTGGACCAAGCGGTCCCATTACCTGGCCACCTTGATCACCTGACCTTAGTCCTCAAGATTATTACTTATGGGGACATTTAAATAGTATCGTTTATAACACCGAAATAGATACCAGAGAAGGATTATTAGAAAAAATAAATTTGGCCTGTAATATGCTAAGCAACAATAAATTTGAAATTCTTCGTGCTTCTCATGGAATAAGGCGTAGAACCAAGGACATTTAAATAAAGGGGACTATGCATGTCACAGTCTATCTCATATGTTGGGTGAAGCTAGACAAGGGGAAAGCAGAGGGCTTTATTTTCATCCAACTGATGCGCGCGATTACATCTCCAATGTCGTACATTTTGGATGGGTCAAAATAAAATATTTTATAGTCCTAAGTCAATATATTTCAACAGCTACTCAGTATTTTTATAATAAATATATATAATATTTTTATAACTTCTTGGAATCCCAATAACTGTAACCATTTCTTTCTTGTTGCACCATCCCCAAGCATCCTAAAAACGTTCACATTTCACTTTTAGAATACTGAGGCAAATTTTCAGTGAGACATAAAAATATATTCCCAAAGGAGAACATCAAATGGTTGAATGAATGCAACTTTCAGTTGATTGCATCTTCGGTATTTTTATGTATAAGTGAACCACCACCATATTTTTGCTGTTGTATTTATTCAGTTTTTATGCTCGTGCATTTAGTAAAATTGTAAATATATTTTTGAAAAGGTTTTTGTCGTAGAGGAAAATGAAAATGATGAATGATTAAAATTTGTAATGTTGGGTATAAGGGATAACATTGAAATACCTATAAATATATTAAATATAAATAATGTCTGTAACTTATTTGTGGTGCAGCATTTTCCTTTGATTTTAATGGCCAAACGTGGTTCATATTATTGTTTTCTTACTATTTCAGCAAAAATTTTAAAAAAATACCAAGTCAGTTTTATAAAATTTTACCGTTATTCAAATAAAAGTTACCCACACGCACGACAATGGCCACAGTTGCATATACATTCCAAAGTCACCTTCAAGCACGCTTACCTGTGGAAGGATAGCTGATGTGGATGTTTATAATCCAATTTCTTACAAATTCTGCACTGTCTAACCATATTCACACCTTAAAAGTTTATCCAAAATACATGTATAAACACTAATCACGTTTCACTTACTAAAATCACAACTATTTTCTAACAAGAGACGCCATATTCTGCCAACCACGGCAGAACGAACGAGGAACACGCTACAAATTATTGCGTAGTTGCCAAGTCTTCAAACATGGCAAATATGAAAAATGAAAAATAGTTTAATATGTACAGAATTTAACAATATTGTATGCATAACTTAATAAAACTATCTTATAATAATAATTTTCACAATTGTGATGAAAATTGCGATAAAAATATTAAGTACATTTCCAGTATAATTATACAGCTGACAACAATGATGCAATTAGACTGTGAATAGAGCAGGCTTCATGTAGAAATGTAAATAAATAAGTCCCCTTTATTTAAATGTCCTTGCGTAGAACTATGCTGTGCATTGAACTAAATTGCAATTATTTTGAGCAATTATTGTAACGTGTTATTTAGTTTTTAATAATTTCTTTGTTATCTGATTTATTACAAAACTTCAGTCATATATCATACCTATCAGATTTGTTTCTGTAGTAAATTACTGATAGTTTGCAAATGATTTCTACTACGCATGTACGGATGCCAACAGTCTACAAACGGTTTGTGATTTGAGAGATGCAAGAATGGTTTCTAAATTTGTTTTGAAATGAAGAAATTACTTCTAAATCTAAATAGTTATTTTTCGAAAACGAAGCATTTTATCGATGTAAATCTAGAGTCCATATTTTTGTAAAAACCCCATGTCTATCATCGTTTGATGTTTACATTTAGACCAGGTTGCCACCGATTCTGGTATTTCCGTTGGTATTCTCTTGGTGCCGCTAGTGCTCTCCCATTACAAAATCCATACACAAAATGAATGTTTATTAAAATTATTATTAAAATTCTGCATTTTTTCTTTAGATTTTACTTAGTATCCAATACAGCACCGTAAAGTGAAAGCATAAATTTTAGTTTAATAATCTGTCAAATTAATTCAAGTAAACAAACGTTTGTTTTCATGGCCTACCTACCTATTCATGTAATCCATTTCAATTCTTGAGATTATGTAATAAAACTTTAAAATCGATTTTTCTCGAAAACGAAGTATTTTATCGAAGTAAAACAAGAGTACTTTTTTTTGTGAAAAACTCATGTCTATCATTGTTTGACGTTTAAATTTGAAAATATTGACGTGCAAAAAATTGGGGGCGAATTTTACCCGTCAGCCCCCCTGCCTGAGACACCTCTGACTAAAATTTTTAAACAGTTTTCGTGTAGTTCGTTAGAACATTCATCGAGTGTCCAACATACCAAAATTCATAATGATACGTTAACTGGTCTTGGAAATATTTTAAAAAATATGATCTCCTGAGGCCTCTTAGGAAGCATTTTTCGAAACTAGTTTATAGGAAAAAATGATCTTATTTTTGATTGTAGAATCCGCTGTTAAAGTATTGCACACTAATTATGGGACACCCTGTATAAGCACAAGCAGAAATACTGTAATTTACGAAAGGGCAAAAATCGATTTTTTTCTAAAACCTAGAGTGTATCTTTGTAGTCCATATCTATAACATACAGATCTAGCTGTCATAAGCTTTACACTCGAATATACCTCTTCAATCTAACTGAGCGACTGAAAACTAAACTTGGCATTTTCTTAGTTTCTTTGGCGCGTAATCCAAAATACAATTTAAATTTTAACGTTCCTCGCAAAATATATCGTCAATATTTACTACAAAACCAACCAAAGCTCGACGTATTTACATCTTTTTACTGTTATCGTATTTTGTTATGATTAAGGTGTTTATTTTTATTTCTCCCGAAAACAGAGCGTTATCCGTCAAAACCGTACATAAAAGAAGGATATCCCCAAAACTTAACAGTTGTGGAAAATCAAACGGCGATTTTTCAATGTCCTCAAATAATTGTCGATCTCGAGCCATTCATACAATGGATACGACTTCCTAATAATTCCGAAAGTTACAACTACACCAATAATACATGGATATTAGAGGTATTTCAACATGGTGGAAATTCAGAACAATAAAAACAACGTATTTAAATTTAATATCAACACATCGACTCAACAATGGAAGCGCGAAATTCATGTATAATCCTGTTATCCTAAAAAAACCTTTAAGAAAGATTATACCGAGTGTCTTGTAAAAAATGCGGCAAATTATACCGCCATTTTTTAACCACATTTTAAGCCTACCTTAAGACTGGAGAGTGTCACTTCTTTTAAATAATTTGTACCATAAGTACAGTAATAATTAAATAATTCATAAATGATAGCAAGCCACGTGACCGCCGAGCATAGGCAATACACACTGCACGATTGGCATTGCCAACTAAAAATCATCGTCATGAAAAATTCTCTGGTCGATCTGCACAGTGTGTTTTATCCTCGATTTTGTTATAATAATAATTTTTTATTTTACAAAAATGTAATTGCCAACGCCGAGTAAAATTACTATTTCAAACGAAATTACTGGTGACGTGGCTTGTAATAAAAATGTTTCTCGTCTGTAGGTATCAAAAAGTATTCTATTTGGAAATAATATTTGTCAATCGTGTTTTCTGGACTTCCAACTTTGTAAATATCGTCCCATTTGAAAAAAACAATTGGTAACACAGACACTCAAAAAAAATCCAAACCCAAGAGAGCCACATATCATTTCCGAAGGAATTCGATGCGCTGAACAAGATCCTGTAGTCAAAATTCGGAAAAAAGTGAAATTTTTGGTTGAAACAGGTCCAAAATTGATTTTTTCCTAAATTTTATCCAAATATTTCTTATTCGTAGTATTTTGAGGCGCTGAACACGATGCCATTGGTAAAATTTATCCATGACCTCGATATTTCTCAGAAAATCCACTATTTGTGTGAAAACTGGCCCCAATATGGGTCAAAACTGATTTTCTTCTAGACTGTGTTCAAATATATCATTTTCGTAGTGTTTCGAGGCGCAATACAATACCGTTAGTAAAATTTACTAATGACTTCGATATTTCTCAGAAAATTTGGGCCAAAATACTACGAAAATGATATACTTGGCCAAAATTTAGGAAAAAAATTAGTTTTGATCCATATTTGTGTCAGTTTTCACCCAAATAGTAGATTTTCTGAAAAATATTGAGGTCATGGGTAAATTTTACTACTGGCGTCGTATTCAGCGTCTCGAAATGTTACGAAAATGAACAAAAAGGAGGAAAAAACTAGTTTTGACCCATACAGTTGATAAGTTTTGCCAAACTTTAATGGCGTATTCTACCGATGAAAATAACCAAGTTTTGCCCTATAAAAAGGGACTATTTTTTCATGGATAACTTATTCCAAAATACAGTCCAGTGGCGTAGTTATTGGGGGAGTTGGGGACCTTTTTTGAAAGAAAAATCGTACGCCACTGTTTTCTAAATAATTTGAAATGTTTTTAAAATGTACAATTAATTTGTGGCAATAAAGCGTTGTAAAGTATTCGTAAAATTGACTGGTCTTTAGATAATTGTGAAATCAAATAAGTACCTACGTTGCTATTTACCATTTTCTATTGATTGCTAAATGTGTAACAATAACTTCAATACCTAATATTTTTGAGAGATTTCAAAACACTATACAACATCACAAGAAATGTTCAAAATACTGTCCTTGGGATGCTATGTATGCTGCGTAGTGTCTCCGCATTGATCGTCTTACACGCCGGGTTGCGAAACCCTCTACAATGCGCTGTCGAAGTACTTCTACATTGGGCACTGGAGTATGATATACCATAGTTATACGTTAACCTCAAAAAAAGTAATCCAAGGATTCAGGTCGGGCGAATGAGCAGCCGGTCAAGCAATGGGTCCTCCTCTACCAATCCAGTGATTAGAATATTAATTATTCAGCAACTGTCTAAGGGTAAGGCTTTAATGAGGTGGCGCCCCATCATGCATATACCACAATAATTGACGTAAACTCAATGACACTTCTTCTAGAAGTGGTAGTAATTCTTCTTGTAAGAACCTTTGATGAGTTCTTCCATCGATCGTTTTGGGTAAAAAGTAGGGAGCAATCAAATAATCGCCCACATCCCACCCATTGGTGGTTATTATGATGACAATTCGAAATGGTTTTCCTTGTAAATTTCGCATTATCAGTAAATAATATTAATAACTGAAAATCAGGCTGTTCGCATTGTTGTAAAAACCACTGACAAAATTCAATTCTCGGTTGACAGTCATTTTCATTTAATGCGTCATTGCTGCTCACGTAAGAAGTTCCAGATTGTTACATGTGCTACACCCAAATCTGTTGATATCTGTCTGGTACTGGTAGATGGGTCTTCATCTACAGATTCCAAAATTTTGTTTTCCAAATGAACTGTAGGAACAGGTCTTTCTCTTGCTCAATGTTTTGGTAGCGACAAACATGAAGTTTCAGGAGCTCGACGGTGAACGCTTGAAAAAGTATTCTTTGTTGGACAACGTCGATTTAGAAAAGTCTGTCTATAAAGTCGTTCGGCTTGTCTAGCATTGCCATTCGCTCTACCGTATGTAAAAAGTATATTTGCTAATAGGGCTAATTCAACATTTGTATAATTGAATACCATCTTTTTTTTAATTAAAATCTGTTTTTAGTTATATGAAAAATAACATTCTGCAACACACAAAACAGTGGCGTTGTATAGTGTTTTGAAACCTCTCAAAAATATTAGGTATTGAATTTATTGTTACACATTTAGTAATCAATAGAAAATGATAAATAGCAACGTAGGTACTTAAGAATCTTCTTATTTGATTTCCCAATTATCTAAAGACCAGTGAATTTTACGAATACTTTACAAGAATATTTTATTGCCACAAATTGATTGTACATTTTAAAAACATTTAAAATTATTTAAATAACCAGTGGCGTACGATTTTTTTTCAAAAAAGGTCCCCTACTCCCCAATAACTACGCAACTGGAGTGTATTTTGGAATAAGTTATCTATGAAAAAATAGTCCCTACAAAAAAATGTCATCCCCCAAATTTTATCACTCAATCTTTTATGCCAGTGAAGTTACAGCAAAAATCATATAAATGTTTAAAACATTTAACACCCTGTATCTCCGTAGGGAAGCGTCCTATAAAAAATTTTACAGGGCAAAAGTTGATTATTTTCATCAGTAGAATACGCCATTAAAGTTTGACAAAACTTATCATTAACACCCTATATTTGGGCTAGTTTTCACGCAAATAATAGATTATCTGAGAAATGTCGAGGTCACGGGTAAATTTTACTAACAGCATCGTGTTCAGCGCCTCAAAATACTACGAAAATGATATATTTGGACAAAATTTAGGAAAAAACAGTTTTGACCCATATTTGGACCACTATAAAATTCACTTTTCTCCGAAATTTGTCGTGGAACTACAGGATCATGTTCAGCGCATCGAATTCCTTCGAAAATGATATGTGGCTCTCTAGGGTTTGATTTTTTAATTTGTGTGGCTGTTTTGGTTTTTTAGAGCCACCCGGTATATACCCAATTAAGATGTCAAGACGTTTTAACAAATTACATTAATTTCAACAGCTAGCGTTTCAGTTGTTGAGTGGGTTGTATTGTTCTGTTTTTTCGCTTGGGTTTCGGTGGTGGTAAGGCTTTGGTAAAGGTGAAGGTTTTCGGATCTAGGTTCTCCGCTATTCTTGTGTTACAATAATAATGATTTTATGTGGTGACGGCATTTGTTATTGTTTAATTTCTAGAGAGGTACCACAACAAGCCCATATTAACAAGCGAACTGGAAAATACTACGGTATCAGTGGGTGTTAACCATAATATGACCTGCAAATTTGTCTCTGACTTACACCCGCATATAATGTGGACTAGATTTTTCAACGAAAGTCATACCCAAGTGCTTCAGGTATCCCTAATTTGTTTTAATCAAAACTCACCCGAAACCAGCATGTTTCTGTCTTTGACGATCCCTTTCGTAGCCACTCTGCATCATTGAAATTGTATCGCCTGAAATAAAAAAATTAACAGATGACATATATGACTTCAGTGATCCAGAAATATATTTTTGATTATAATCGTACGGCATTTTTTCGTTTTGTTCTATACTGTAAGAATTAGAATCTAATTTACAGCGGTGTTAAAATTACGAAGAATTAAAGAACTTATAAAAAACAAAATTGTGATGACATAATAGATGCGAAAGAATGTCGTATTTGTGGATTACCCTGTATACAAATTGTTTAGTTGATAAATGCCAATTGCATGAGTGTGCTAAATTCAAACGTAACGTATGTTAGAGTAGTACTCATAATTTTTATAAAAATCTATACCTAAAAAGGTGGTATGTCCATGTTATCTGCCTTGATCTGAAACTGTTGGATATTTTTTTAATCATAAGCTGTCTTATACTCTAATGCGTAGAAGAATTAATTTTACGCACTAATGCCTAAAACACTAATACCAAAAAGTTTAATTACGCACTATACAATATGCGTAAAATTATTCTTTTATGCGCTGGGGTAGAAAAACCATTTATTTGTATTGGGAATTGAAGTTACTTCCTTACATCTAGTACTCGAATTAATTCTATTTCCAAGCCGTCGTTTCAGATAAGGCAAAAATAGAGTGGACGCACCACTTTAAGTAATCGGGTTTATTTATATTTTCAAATTCGAAACAGTATAATTTAAATTCCGGATATCCTGCATGTTCGTTACTCCTTCCTTAAAGTTCTTACATACATTTATATTTAGCATACTTTTTTAACTACTAGAATAATAACGCCCTCAATACAAATAGTGAAACGTATCAAATTACCAATGTGACACACGAAGACGAGGGATGGTATGCTTGTTTTGCTTCCAACAGCCTTGGTACTACCATGTCTAAGGCCTATCTACAAGTCGTGGACAAGGAACCTGGTAAGTGAATCGAAATACTACTTTCTTACTACAATCCCAGTCCTTGCAAGGATAAAATGCCAATAAATTTTTGTTTTTAGATATTTTAGGTTTTAACGATGAACCTACGAACTTCTTTACTATAGGAATAGTAGCTGCCATAGGAGCAGTCATAGTGATTTCTGTCATAACCTTTATGTGCATACACTTTAGACAGAAAATTAAACGGTAAATTACAAACGATCCATCAGAGACACGAAAATATTGACATTATTAAATTTTAGTGAAAAAAGAGAGAAGATGATAGCTGTAGAGACAGCTAGAGCTGCCATCAAAACAACTCAATGGACCAAAAAAGTTATTATCGAAAAAATGACGAACGCTTCTGAAAATGTCTCTGAACCCTTGGTAAGCATACGCTAAACCCATTAAATGCTTTTTAAACGTTTCTTCTTCCAGCTGATGCCAGTTGTGAAGATTGAAAAACAAAAATCCCAAGCAAATAATTCAGGAGACAGCGCCATCTCGGAATACGAGCTTCCAATGGACTCCGATTGGGAAATACCTAGGGATATGCTTTGCCTAGGTAAAAACCTTGGGGAAGGTGCTTTTGGTAAGGTCGTGAAAGCCGAAGCTATGAATCTTCTCAAACCTGGAAGCACCAGCGTTGTAGCAGTCAAAATGTTAAAAGGTACGTCTTATACTTAGTGTATATTGCAGTCATTTCGGAAAAATGTATTTTTAGAGGGTCACACGGATAATGAAATGATGGATTTGGTCTCGGAAATGGAAATGATGAAGATGATAGGAAAACATATAAATATAATAAATCTGCTAGGTTGCTGTACACAGGGCGGTCCATTGTATGTGGTTGTAGAGTATGCTCCACATGGAAACCTTCGTGACTTCTTGAGGCAACACAGACCTTCTTCAGGATACGAGTTAGCTGTTGGTGATAAGAAAGAGAAGAAAACTCTTACCCAGAAAGATCTGGTGTCCTTTGCTTACCAAGTGGCAAGAGGAATGGAATATTTGGCTTCGAGACGGGTAAATATTTTCCTTTTAGTTTCATCTCAATACACACTATTTTCTTTTAGTGTATCCACAGAGACTTGGCAGCCAGAAACGTTTTGGTCAGTGATGACTATATTTTGAAAATCGCTGATTTTGGTCTAGCCAGAGATATCCACTGCAACGACTACTACAGAAAGACCACAGATGGAAGATTGCCGGTGAAATGGATGGCACCAGAAGCTCTTTTCCACAGAGTCTATACTACGCAATCCGATGTCTGGTCCTATGGAATTCTCTTATGGGAAATTATGACCTTAGGAGGTAAGTAATACTGAATTACGTCTACAGCTGTCATGTCATCGGTTTAGACTTAATTTAGACTTAATAGATTCATTTCGTTTGTGAACTGATCCCAGATATCGAGGAACGGAAGGGTATCATTTTCTTTCAACTTTATGGTGAAGCTAATGCCTGGATATATTCTATTAGTGTGGTCCAAAAATCCTTCTAAGTTGTTATATTCACAAGGCCAAGTAATAGATAGATCGTCAACATATTTGAATTGGCTTTAGAACTGCTAAGTCCATTGCCCTCAAAAGCTACCATGTATATATTTGCCAGAACTGTGGATAAGGATGAACTCTTCCCCTTCAGTTTGTTCACAAAACTGGTTCCTATAAGGGGAAAAAAGTCTATCTGAGGCACGTTTTTACCTAAGTCTAATAAATTCTCATCCTTCTGCGATGAGTTTTCGATAAAGACAAACAATGGATGTCTGGATCTAGTTGGATCCCCTTGATCTTGTCAATAAAATCTCCAGCGTTTTGATATGCTGTGCTATATTTCCCTCTAGGTCTTTAGTATCCTGATCCAACTGTATTCATTATTGGTTGGAGTGGTACGTTCAGTTTGTGGGCCTTTGGAAGGCAAGAAAATTGGGACGGTTTCTACCTTATTTCTTCTGCTACTTCTTGAGAGACGATGATTAGACTGGGTGAGTACATCCCTAAGTCATCATTAAGTTCTACAATGATGACTTGTCCAAACTCACCTGTTTAGGATGTTCTTTGGGTAGTCTTTCAACCTTCTTCCACTGCTTGTTTTTGACGTCTTTTCCTGTGTATAATGTTTTTTCTGTAGTCACTCTGTCCTTCAGACCCTAGGTGTATCTGTCTAATTTACTCGTGATTGTACTTCCAGAGAACTCTTCTCTTTTTTCTTTAGTTACCTTCTGGCATCTCTGATCTTTGCCAGTAGAAGCGAGGTGCTCGTTCGCTGTTGGATTCTTTGTGTTGTCTTACTTTCAAAAATTCTGGTATGATCAATTCATCACGACATCTCTCCGTAGAGGCTTCTTAGTTTAGTTTAGAGTTTAGAGGCTTCGGTGAAAGTTTATCTATCTTTTAGAAAAAAAACCCTGTATTTATGAAACCAAAGTATAAATCTTACGCACAGTACCTAAAATGGGAAAGGTGAAAAGGTAAAAGAAAACAATATTTTCACTGTCACGTTGATTCTTCTCTTAACAGTTGTTTATTTAAATTTCATAATGAATAGGTAACAGGTAAATGGGACACATCCTATGTCCTGGAATGTGCTACGTAATAACGAATTTGGCAGTAATATTTTCTCGGACAATCTTTTGACGTAGTTCCGTATCGTGAAGGAATGCGTCGGACACAAATAGACTTCGATTGGATTCGTCATCTTCGTAATTAATTGTTGTGGCATTCGGTCCCAGTTTTGTTTTCAATCGGGTTTATTATTAAATGCCATGCTTTATTGAAGTACCATGATGTAAAACCAGACCCACTGTACTTCAGCTGACTGCATTATTAACACATCTGGATTGTTTAATTTCACTGACAAACGAGTACGGAGTGAGATTTCCACTGCGTTCTCATTTTAATACTCCCTGGTAGTTTTAATTTTACCGATCTTTCGAAAAATATAATTCTACACCTTTCAGGAATAATAAGTCACAAAGGAAAACACAATATATTTTCTATTATGCAACGTGTTGCTTTCTGGGTATTAAGGGCAAGTTCAAATAATTGTATCAGGCGACTAGAAAGAGTGGCTACAGAAATATTTCGGTTGCTGTACATCTGTACAACTGTACTTAGTATACTGTATCACGACCAGTATATTTCGAACCTTGTCACAGGCGGACAGAAATTCGCTAAAGTTCCTCAGGGCTCCATTCTGGGCCTGCTCTTCTTCACAATTTCTATTAATGACATCGTGATTGCCCTGGATGTGCATGTTCATTATTTGCAGATGGCACAAAGCTTTATTCCTGAACAAAGTCTACAAATGATTATTTTAAAATTCAGAACAAACATGGTGTCTCTAAAGCAAACTTGCGTTGATAAGTGTTTTTAATTTTTTTTCTCTTCCAGGCACGCCATATCCTTCCGTCCCAAGCGTCGAAAAGCTTTTCCAACTGCTACGGAACGGCCACAGGATGGAGAAACCCCCGTGCTGCTCGTTGGAAATATACATGTTGATGAGGGAGTGTTGGAGTTATCAACCAAACGAGCGTCCGGTATTTGCCGAGTTAGTCGAAGACCTCGATAGGATATTAACCATCACAGCTAACGAAGAATATCTAGATCTAGGCCTTCCACAACTCGACACTCCACCATCAAGTCAAGAGTCCAGTTGTGACGAAGATTTCCCGTTTCCTCAGATAAGCTAGTCGTTGTTTAATAAGTTCGCTTTGTGTCATAAGCTTTTGTGAAAGCCATAGTACGCAAAATCGTTGTCAGTATTAAGTGTAACCCTGGATGTCTATGGTCAGTGGGATGCTGTCAAAATGACACCGTCAAATGTAGAGGTGGACGGGATATTGAAGCAAAGTTGTCAAAAGTAATTTGTTCAGTGACATTTAAGTTTATTTATTAGGTCAGAGTGGCAGACGGAAATTCTACCATGAGTGGTACCAAAAAGTGTAAAGGACAAGCTGTAAAACAGTCATTTTGTGGGAAGTAGTACCAAATATTGATGATATTCGAACGGAGGGAAATTCTGTGTCATAAAGTAGATTTAGTTATGGAATTAACCTTATGGATGTATTTTGTTTTTAATTATAGTTTCACCAAAGAAATCTTATTGTCAGACAATAAATCAATAGTGTAATTTTTAACATTTAACTTAAGGATAAAGCTCTCTCTCACTTTTTACCTTTCACGTTTTGGAAATAACGCAATTTAAAAATTGTTAAGACTGTATATTATAATTAATTGTAACAAATAGATTTTTATTAACTTTAGTTTGTTTTACATCCAATTCCTGAATCCTTTTAACCGATGGATTTTGAAGTGGAAATACTTGCACATGCCATAACGAGATGCCATATATTGCATCCTCTACAAGATAGCTACAAAATTGTATGAAAATTAAATTTGGCATCCTCAAAAACACTGCTTTGATATCGATATCTCCCAAGTTAATAGAAAATTTCGTTAAACAAATATTTTGATGTCTATCTTATTTCCTTATCCCCAGGCTTCTGCTTCAGTACTATTTTTATTCTTAGACTTTAATATACCTTTGAGAATTCCAACGAAACATGACAAACAAGAATTATTGAAAGAGGTAATTAACAAACGGCAATATTCAGTTTTAAATCTCGTAGTTTTCTTAAAGTACACTGCGAACGTTGAGCGTCAGTGCCACACAGCAAGGTGTAATAAAGATAACAAAGTATCTAAATTTAAAAGCAAGTGAAACGGTCTAGTGATGTAGACGTTACTTGATAATGAAACATTTGTTCCTTTTCAATGCACATAAAATATAAAATGCTAGCATCTTACTATTTTAAATTTGTTGGACAGTAATATTTCATTTATTTGAATGTCTAAAAATAGTTCATTGTCGTTCTTTTGAGAAGAGCAGCTTTTATATTATCACAGCATACTGTGATATTATTTAACTTGTTAATAGTCCAGTAGGCGGGTTTACAGAGGTAGTATTTTTCCATAAACCCCAAAAATGTTTCACAAATCTGCTACATATATCTTATTTACTGACAGGAAAATTTGAGACCTGCTCATTCTTGTTGTTCTCGGGCTAGACTTTCTGGGGGCGGACTCGTCGGATAATTCACAATTCGACTTTTTCAGTTCTCAAAAAGTCTCTTGTTTGAGCCGATGTGTAAGAGCTCGCATTATCCAGGCATTGTCGGTGATTTCCCTTATTTTGCCGAAGACTTCTGGCAAACAAATGGTTGTGTACCATTCAGAACTGCCCGTTTTCCGAAAAAATACCCGACCATTTGCTTAGAAGTGCTTCGTGAGCGAACAAATTGCTGGATTTGGCTCATCTTGAAAGAGCCCTACAGTCGACTGCTTTTGACTTTCTGGCATACGCATAGATTCATGATTCGTCATCTGTTATAGACGTGTTTTGAAGCCGGAACCCTTTTTTGAACGTTTGTCCAATTATGTGTCAAACGCGAACAAATTTGCATGCAATATTGATTGTTGCTGGTCCTGCTAATGCCCAAGGATGCTTCAATCTCACAATAAGTCACACGACGATTTTGAAATGTCAGTTCACGCACAGCAACAATGTTTTCTGGAACAACAACCAATTTTGGATGACCTTACGAAATTCGTCAGTGAACGAACAACGGCCAGATTGAATTCCATGTACCGCCGATATACAGTGGTTTTTGATGGTGCTTCATTGCCAAACGTCGAATTAAGTTCATCGGTGTACTGTTGTTGAGATAATCCACGTCGAAAGTTGTGAAAACCATAGACCACCTAAACTGGCTGTATCTAATTCCAATGTACGGGTACCAGTGAATGCAAATTGCGAGGAAGTGGAGTGTGCGAGGTAATCTGACCACGCCTATTTTGAACAGATCCGGATTAAGTAATATTTTTATTACATATTAAACATTATATTGCATCTTATGACAAACATTCATGTTTCAATTTGGAATTCAGAAAATAGTATATTTTAGTGTCATTAAATAACTACAAAATAATTTAAATATATTTATTGTCCTCTAAATAATTGTCTTTTCGTAGATTTTACTGAAATAAATATTTTGACTTCATGATGTATTCTCACATCAATATACTTTTCACATACAACCCTTACCAGTTCTATTAAATGATTTCAATTGTTAGGGAAATTATCAAATTGATGTTCACGCAAATTTTCAAATAAGTTCATTGTTCACATTCAAAAAGTTTTTTAATACATGATACACAATTTTATTTTTCTGTAGCTTGGGTGTACTTTTTTTAGTTATTAAAAAAAAATTGTTATTTTTTCTTTTTCTTAAATTATCATTTTTTAAAGACGTTTAACTTCATATTTCAGTTTCTTCTTTCTTTTCTCATAACTAAAATGTTTATATAATCTTTTCAAAGTTGACATCGAAGATGTATTACTTAGGTCAGAATATAATGACTGCGACGTGGTAGGTTGGCTGATAGGAGACGTAAAAGAATCTGAAGATTGGGATTGTGCATGTTCATAAAAACCTATTAGTGAAGATAATTTTATAAAATTATGTGGTGAGTATTAAAATCTTCACTAAGTATTGGGAGAGTCCTACATGCAAAAAAATGTATTTAATTCGCACAGTCCAGGTCAAAATTGAACACACTGTGCATTTGCACATATAAATTATAATTACTTATTATTTCTGGTAGATTTGATGTGGAAACTGCATTTTTTGCTAATTTGCGGATTACATTTTTGTTGAAACTTACATTTTCTTCAAAGTGAAAATTTTGATGGTATCCAATCATGTTTTTTAAAAGCTTTCACATATCTGTACTTTATGTCACCATCCTTTGGAAATCTGTAAAAATTGAAATATTACATTGAAAAATCGAAGCAAGTATAAAAATTTGGTAATTATTTATTTTACCACAAAACTCTGATTTTTCTAATCAAATTTTGCCAACCCCCCTTTTTCAGGGTGCTGAACGTGAATTTTAAATTATTTTTTGTTATTTTTTTGATCGCAAAAAATAGTATCACATTAATTTTCAGCTCCCTCAAAATTACGGGAATTGGAAATATTTCATATGAATTGGAGACTTTACGTAAAGTAAATAATTATTAAAAATATGTTACAATCATTTATTCATTATTTTATTAACAATTTATAATAATATCACGTTTACGTTACAAAATTATAAAGTCAACCCTGGAATACTTTGACCTTAACCAAGAAATGGCGTATATAATGGCTCAAATTTGCATTTTATACAGGGTGTCCCGAAATTCATGCAACAAAATTTGGTCACAGATTTTTAAGACAAATTTAGGGGACCCGTATTTTTTACTTTTGTCAAGTGACCCTCTCTTTCGGAGTTACAGCCCCCTGAAGTCCGCCCCTAAGAATATTCTTTTTTTTATATCTCAGAACCCTGTTGTACGAGAGTCATTAAATTTGATACACCGGGGTTTTATGACATGTGGAATCTGATGGTGCTACGTTTTTTGGCGGGGAATCCCCTTAAGACAATTTTTCGTGGGCCCCCTTGTCTTTGGAGCCAAAAAAATTTGGTTGCATATTTAAATTTCTTAAAAATTATCAGTCCACTAGAAAGCCATTAAATTTAGTAACTTTTTGTCACGTTATAATTTTTTCGT